TTTCGTTCTTGCTTATTTTGAAAAATATTATAAAATCTTCATGATTTCTTTCTGATCCACAGATTATTTTTAATGCCATTATCTAATTTGTAAATATTTTAGGATTATTCAAGATATCTTTAATTGTTATTGATTTATATTTTAACATGGTTGTGGTCATAGAATATTCATATACATTTCAATCTTACATAAGCATGAAACAACCATAAAAATTGGAACATGATATTGATGTATTAATACAATGGAATTTTCAGCCCCAAGTTTCTGTTGTCCCAAGAATATATTTAAATGATTAGACTCAAAAATACTCATCATTTTTTTTAGTTTATTTGAAAGACAGGGTTACAGAGAGAGAGAGGGAGAGACAGAGAGAGATATATCTTCCATCCACTGGTTCACTCCACAAGTGGCTGCAACAAGCAGGAATAGGCCAGGCGGAAGCCAGGATCCAGGAGCTTCTTCTGGGTCTCCCACATGGGTACAGAGGCCCCAAAACATGAGCCAGCAATGCTGCCTTCCTAGGCTTATTGGCAGAGAACTGAATCGGAAGTGGAACAGCCAGTATTCAAACCAGAGCTCATATGTGATGCTCGTGCTGCGGGTGTGGCCTAAACTGCTGCACCACAGCCTTGGTCCCTTATCATGTATTTTTTTCAGAAACAATCATCAGACCTTTTTTCTACATGGACAAACTCTACAAAATACATAAAATAAAAATGTAAACCTACAAAATCTCTTTCAGAAAATAGAGAAGGATAGATTCTCAACTTTTTTTACTATCCTAGCATAATGTTAAAAACTGTATACTCTGGGACATTATCAGAAATAAAATTATTGACTCATGTCTCTCCTAAAAGTATCAGTTAAATGCCAGAATTGATGCCCCAGAGGAATCAGCAGACAGGACAGGATTCCTTAAGGGAACTTTCAGAAAAGTTTCATAGAGCTTTGAGCACAGTTTTGTTGTTAATATTATTGAAAGGCAAACAGACAGGAAGAGAGATAAACAGAGAGGAAGATTTCATACCCACTGCCTCACTCCCCAGATGTTGGCAATGGCCATGGTTGGCAAGGCTGAATCCAGGGGCCCAGAATTCATTCAAATTCTCCCACGTGGGAGGCAGGTACCCAAGAACTTAAGCCATCACATACTCCTTCCCAGGGTGCATGTTAACAGGAAGTTGGAATGTGCAGTGGAACCAGGACCTGAAGCTGAATACTCCAAAGAGGATGTGAGCATCCCGAGTACAGCTTTATAAAAATAAATCTGTATGTGGGCAAGGACTAGAAGAGAAGCAAATCAGTCGGTATATAGAACTCCTCAGGCTGTGTAATTGCTTTCTTTCTTGGATTGTACCTATATCCTTTACAATGATATACTTGGTTTCATAAGATGTTTTGATTGACATAAAATTCACATAATGAAATATAAAGTAAAACAAAGGCTGTGTGTGGAAACTACAGTATCCAGATCAAAGAGACTTTTTCTCTTTCTTGTTCTTTTCTTAAAAATTCCTATTCTGGAAAAATAAGAGCCTTTAAAGCTTACTTCTTGGAACTAAAATTATTAATTTCTCTGAATTAATTTTAGTATGCAAAATGACCAAAAAACTACATAATATGATGCATATTTCTTAGAACAGACTATTCAAGGAAGCATGGTCATGATCGATTATGAAAAAAATTAAAATCAATTTTTCTTTATCTTTTCTGATTCAGGATTTAATTACCTACCGGTGGAGCTGGCTTCCCTCAGTTTTTGCGTTTGCCACCTGGAAACTGAAAGTGGAAGCCTTCATTGATTTCATTGCTTTATTCTTTCAGCATTTGTCCTTCATCTTTGCTGGTTGTTCTTGAAGTTGCCCTGAACCTCTTTTTTCTATAAACTCACCCCCACACTGGGAGTGTATGTACTTGTATTCTGGGGAGCAACTTAGACCAAATTGAATTACAGCACAAAATGAGTTCTTGCAAAAATAATACAGTGTCATCTTTGCTTGCCTTCCATATCTAAGAAATGTAATTTGCTGTGGCAGTACATGGTTTTCTCATCCATTGTTACACTATTGCAGAGGAAGGGATCCTTGATCTCTGTGTGTATTGGTGAATTAAACATAGTCTGTGCCCACTTTCAAGACATCATTTAATAAGCCTCAAATGACAATTCCATTTTAGTTTAATTTTTCTGGCTTTGAATTGAAATATTCTTTTTTCCTTTTTGAACATCAATATTATCCTTGAAGTGAACAAACTTTGGACTCCAAAAATCACTGTGCTGTAAAAGAGTACTTAATTCTATGAAGCCTGTTTTTTAAGTAATTTTCCATATGTATTGAAAATAGCATGAATCAATTAGAGGCAATGAGTCATTATTAAGGAACAGTTGTCAATCTGTTGTTTTCCTCATAACTATACATGCATACAAGCACTAGCTGTAGTTTCAAAATATGAACTGTTTCGGTTTACTTTCAGGTTTAGTCTCTCTTGTGTTCTTGGGCTTTAGATGAAAGGACAAGGTCAAACATTCACATCCCAGAGTTATTGAATGGGATACAAAATAAGTCAGAGATTTATAATTTGCAAATACATATTTTACAATTATTTAGTGTCTTCTTTATCCAAGGCACTATACTACATTGGACTTACTGATAGAGTTCTTCTTTGTTTCATCCGAGGCACACTTCCTGTATGTTGATCAGAAACACCTGAGTGCTTCAATGCCATGTAACTTGTAACCTACTGCCACAGCTACAGCTTTAACATTTTTTAATTCATCTCATAATTGACTAAAAATGTTGATATCAGTTAATTATGATAGGTTAATCATATCTAAAATTTCCTACATTGTCAAAGTGAAAAGAGTGGCTATAAATAACGAAGTCCAATGTCCAGCACCATGTATCATGCAACATAAGCAGGCATTTGGTATTTGTTTAATTGCTAGTTTAAATGAAAAAAAAAAATGACTAATCACCCAAGAGTGGCACATACCTTATACCTACTATAATTGCTTATAACTTGTAATAGTATACCAACAAATTGACTAATAAACTTATTATCTCATTGTTAATTGACTTTCAAAAAGATTTTTTAAGTCTAGCCATGATTAGTTTTATCATATGCTAGTTATTAGCTAAGATTCATAGCTAGGCAGAAATAAACAGAAAGCAGTTAAAGTGAATCATCTCAGAGGTCAGGAGCTTATGTTAAATTGCAAAACCTTGTATGTATCATAAGACCTACTTAAGATACTGAATTGTTGGCTAGTATCTCAAATTAGCTTTTCACATTTGATATGGATCTACAAACTTAACAGTTTTGCATACTGAAAATATTTTAAGACATTTCTTTTATTTTTCTGCTTTAGAAAACACGTATACCATATTGTAAAAGTTGTTCTTGATGAAAAACAAATTCTGTAAATATTATGCATTTTCCTAAGCGTATGATTTTTAATTGCAAGAGTGAAAATAAACATTGTTTTAAACATTGTATAGGTACTCTTGAAAAATGCTTAAAGTATTCTGTTGAAGTGTGGTAGCCTGGGGTATCTGCCAGGCTAGAAAATGCCAGGAAAGGGAGGCTGGCTGGAGAGATATTCAACCAGGAAGACATGGCCACCATGTGTGAGGAAGAGGGAAACCGAACTGGGTCAGTCACTTCTGAATGTCAGGAGTGATAAGCACTAGACCTGAAAGGAGAGTTAGATTAAGTTTACAGAGAATTGAAAAATTGTGATGAAAAATATCCTACAGTACCAGAAAATTTACAACCCACATGGTGATTTTTCTGCTTTATATCATTTGTTTTGTTTCTATATTATTTCCTCTTAAGTTTATTTCAGAAAAAGCAAGGGGTGGGGAGAGATAGAGAGAGACAGAGAGAGAGCGAGAATGAGTCTTCCATCTCTGGTTTATTCTTCAAATGCTGAAAAAGCCAAGACTTGGGCATGCTAAACTAAGGAGCCAAGAACTCCATCTAGGTCTCCCACATGGACATTAGGGACTCAAGTACTTGGCCATTACTCACTGCCTTCTCAGGCACAATGGTAAGAAGTTGGATTAGAAGCTGATCAGCTGGGATTCCAACCAGCCCTCTGATAGTAGCTTAATCTATTGTACCACAATGCTGGCCCCACTATATAATTTCTTGTGAGAGACATGACCAATTTTCTTACTCATTTTTTATCCTCCTTGCATAACTTGGAAACCCTTTACTCTGTGCCTGTTCCTCAGTATTTTCTCACAAACACACACACACACACACACACACACTTACACATACACATATGTGAATATTTTACATCTTAATTGATGGGAGGATGGGGTGGATAGGAGAAAGTATTTGAAAATGTGCTTATAGAAAACAGAAAGCTATACATTATGTGATTTAATTTTCATACTACTTCAAGTTATAGTGTGTGCCGGAACTGGATCATACTTACTTACAATCGCCATTATGATATATTGTCCCACCTTTGCTTTTAGTGATTTCACTTAGTTATCTTTAAATCAGCCCTTGTGGGAGTATTTATAACGTGAAATTAACAAAAGCTGCAGGTCAGGACTTCTTCCCACTTGTCTGAGAGCAGACTTGTTAAATATTTATTAGCACACTACTGGTTAGCAGTAAATTTATTATATATTATTTAGGATCTGAAATCAATTCCACTCCTAAAATTCTGTAACTATTTCTGAACCAACCATCTAGCATATTTTTAATGAATAAACGACCTTAATCTTAATGGATAATTTTAATACTCATAGGTTGTGTTGGAAGTTTTTTGTTAAAATGTTAATGTTTTCTTATTGACTAATTTATAAACTGAAAAGCTCTTTGTGGTTTTACAATAAATCATGTTTCTGCACTTCACAATGGGAAAGGCTTTATGATTGAAATGACAAAATAGTATGTGTCATTAAGATTTATTTAAAATTAAAATTTACTCAAAACTATCTCTGATCTAATTCTTGACCATTCTTTGTGTTGGTATTTTACAGTGAGGCCCACAGTAATTGAAACCGATGTTTATGTAAATAGCATTGGACCAGTTGATCCCATAAACATGGTGAGTAAGGAATATTAAAATATGCAGATCGCAAACATACGCTTTCAGAATGAAATGAATATGACAGTACTTGCTGATAGCTAATTTTTAAAGAATTCAGATCTCAACATGGGAAATTATTATGTGCCAGGTACTAGCAATGGGGGATAAAATATTCCTTATCATCTAAGACTTTTTAGCTCATTTTTACGATGTTTGGAAGCACTATGTCAAAGAATTTTTAAAAAAATTGCCACCCAATCCATTAAGAGTAAGTCCCTGAAAATATCTTGGAAAAGGATATGCACAGGTCTGATAGGGAAAGAGTCAGCGAAGGAAAGGAGCTTTCTGGCAGAGAAAGCGGCATGAACAAAAACACAGAGCAATGGAGCAATCTGACACGACTGGGACAACTTCAGCAAATTCATATCACTGGTGTAAAGTGCAGGCTCAGGAATTGAGGCCAAAGGTGTCCTTAAGGGCCTTTTAAGGCAAGTCTTGTAAACAACTATAATAGGAAGCATAAATGTTGTTTAATGAATTGTATCCTTTTGAATAAGAGAAATAACTGGAAGCTTGTCATTAAGAGAGTCTCATAGATGAGTTTATATCTTCAATACATCACTCTGAACAGTATAGAAGATGAATGCAAGAGGCCAAGTTCAGGGCTAGGGAAATCAGTTAAGTTGGTGCGTTAGTCTGGGCAGTAGGTATCTAAGGTTTTATACAGTGTAGTAGCAATTGGGCTGGAGAAGACACTAGCACATTTTAAATTTTTTTTTAGAATTTGGTGGCTCATTAATTGTACATTGGATGACCTTGAGATATAAAAAAATGTTTTCAGGAAGGATGATCTGATAAAGATAGAGAATACGGGCATGTGTGTCCCCAGTGCTAATGGTGCTCTCGGAAGGAGCTGTTCTGCAGCACTTCGTCTTATTTGCCTACTTTTCAGGTATGAGGCTAGGACTGGGTAACAGATTACTATTAGAAGAGTGACATAATCTCTTTACCACAATAATTCACTTCCTTAAACCTAGAAGCCATCATATCATATGTAACAGTTGCTTGTGTCTGCTTATTCTTATGGTATTGCTTTAGACCCAACTTTTCTCTTACTCAATGTGCTGTTTTTATGACTGTCATTAACTTTCACAGCTGTCTGCACTGATTAATGTAGTGAAAGCATTTTAGCTGTACCAGAACTGACATCTCTTTTACCTTAATGCAAATGGATATAAACTGGCTTTGGATAAATTAAATGTGAGAGGATGGGGGATGTCTTGATGGACTGGCTCGAAGTCAGTCTTAAATGAGAGGCTTGGGGAGGTCTGGGTTAAAGCCATTTTTTTTTTTTGTCAGGAATTAGCTAAATTCTTTGCAACTAGAAAACAAAGGTATAAAAAAAGCCTTAAAGTGATGAAAGGAGAAATAAAGAATGAATATCAAACATGTACATTTAAGGACTTGAATGAGGAAGTTGAGTTAGTAAATGAAACAGCAAATTTGCCAAGAAATAGGAAGATAAAATAGTGTCATAAAAACAAAAGGAAAAGAAAATTTCAATGAAATTTCAGTATTAGTTGTGTCGAAAACAAATTCCTACAGCAACAACTGGAGTTTGTAAAGAGAAAGCATTTTATATACTTGTGAGCAAAAATGTCAAATTTTAGTATGCAAATAGGAGATCTCATATATTAATACATCACTAAAATGTTAATTTTTCTCTTCAGGAAACTCTTATAATCTTCAGATTTTTTTAAATGGGAACAGGAGTGGGAGGGGGATTAGAGATTCAAACAAAGATTTATTTATTTATTTATTTATGACTCAGAAAGCAAGCTTCCATCCACTGGTTCATTTCCCAAATGCCCATATGGCTTGTGCTAGGATAGCAAGAGACAAAGGCTGGGAACTCTATGTCAGTCTGCAAATTGGTGCCAGGAACCCATTTGCTGTCTCCAAGGATCTGTATTAGTAGAAAGCTGCACTTAGGAATCAAATCAAGGAATCGAATCCAGGTACTTCTGTGTGGAATATTTTAGTTTTAATTGCTAAGATATATATGTACTTTAATTTTTAAGTAACTAATGCCTACAGGAGAGAAGTCTGTTTGAAAATATGGAAAAGTCTCTGTTTTCTGAAAATCCTGTATTTTTGTTTGGGGCTTTGTTTCCAGTTTGCATGAAGTCATTAGATGCAAAATATGGTCATTGAAATAACGAGAAGGGGAATTCAACCCTGTATTAGTATCTAGAAACACAGTGACATGTTGGCTACCAAGAAATTTCTGTGATAATCTTCGAATTAAAAGATTCATAGTATTAAAGATTTAGTTTTCCCCATGGAGTAAATTACACACTGGTAACCTTGGACAGTGATAGTTGTAAAAAACTCTAATTAAATGAAATTGCTATTGATAATAATGACATTAAAACACTCTGTGGAACACATGGTATCATTTATTAAAGGGAAGCATTGTCAAACTAGGGATTAATGAGAAGCAGATTATGTAGAAGACTTTAAACAATGAATGAAAATTAGAATTCCCTTTTCATAAAATGTGCAAAATTGCTTGGACTGTGAGTTTAATCAAGCAAGCAAACTTTGGTGTAATTAAGCAAGCAAGAGCATAACTTCTTCCTCTACTTAAGTACTAACACAATCTAAGTGACTGGAAGGAAGACAATTAAATACAGTGGTTTCACTTTTCTTTTTAAGTTAGCTAAAATTTGCTTTGCCAAAAAGTGAATGTTTCTTTTTAAACTTGGCTATATAAAATACCACTTCTAAGAGCCGGCGCTGCGGCTCACTAGGCTAATCCTCCACCTTGCAGCGCCAGCACACCAGGTTCTAGTCCCCGTTGGGTCGCCAGATTCCGTCCCGGTTGCCCTTCTTCCAGGCCAGCTCTCTGCTGTGGCCCGAAGTGCAGTGGAGGATGGCCCAAGTGCTTGGGCCCTGCACCCCATGGGAGACCAGGATAAGCACCTGGCTCCTGCCATCGGATCAGCGTGGTGTGCTGGCCACAGCTCGCTGGCCGCGGCGGCCATTGGAGGGTGAACCAACGGCAAAAGGAAGACCTTTCTCTCTGTCTCTCTCTCTCTCACTGTCCACTCTGCCTGTCAAAAATAAAATACCACTTCTATAGATTAATGATAACCTCTGAAACAACATCATTCTACATTGAGATACGTCTTTATTATTTTCAGGATTAGGCTCAAGATTTCAATCTTGTGTATCAAAAAAATGGAGTATTTGATAATTTGATAAATAAATACATTGGTCAATAAATAGAACATTTCCATAGTTTCCATTTCTAGAATTCACAGATATGCTAATAATGTCTGGAATAAAGTACAGGAAGTGGGAGAGAGACTGCTCAATTTTATGAGTGCTCTGATTAAAATGATCTTAATTGCAAGTAGAATAAACATATGCAATCAGAATTAAAGGCAAGGTATCATTGATATATGTTATTAGGTGAGAATTAAAGTACTTTCTTAAATTTTAAATCTTAATCTCTTAAATTTTCTGGTTTGAGGAAGCTTTTGTGTGTGTGTGTGTGTGTGTATTTTAAGGACATGTCTCATGGTAGTGTCTGACCCACTAAATATTCAAATGTCATATCAAATTTTTGAATTAAGTCAGTCTCAGTAAGACCTATAGGAAATCCAAGATCATACTGTGGATGTCTAACAGGAGCCCACAACACAAGATTATTAAACCCATTATTATTAACTTCAGGTATAATTTAGATCTAGATTTACTTGTAAGGACTGGTCCACCCTTATTTGGTCTAATACTAAGACATTAAAAATAAAGAACTTTAAAAGTAAAGGACAAGAAAATCGACTTATAAAAACCACTCCAGAATAAAACTTCAGTACACATTTGCCTAGCAATTTATAGAATTCTAGTAGTGAAAGAAGTACATCACATAGTTCTAAAAAAAAAGGTTCTTAAGCTAGAAATATTCTTCCTGCTTACCATTGTGATTGGTCTTGGTAATGGAGACAGGGCTGAGAAACATGGGCACTAACCAATACAGGGACAATTTAAAAAGAGGTGGAGAGCCAGCTGAGTTGTGCTTCAAGTTAACTGCCTGCTTCAGTGAACTGCAAGTGGTGAGTGGCGCACAAAGAGATGAAGTAAATTTAGTAAGGGGCTTCATGCATTCTTTCTAGGGAGCACAGAAATATTTAACAAAACTTCCCCATTTCAGACACCTTTGAATAGAAAGGAAAAATCCCATTGCCCCTTACAAAGGAAAAAGAAACCATTTTAAACAAAATAGTTATGAACTACAAAAGCAATAAGCATTTTTTTTTTTTGAAAGACAGAGTGGACAGCGAGAGAGAGAGACAGAGAGAAAGGTCTTCCTTTGCCGTTGGTTCACCCTCCAATGGCCGCCGCGGCCGGTGCGCTGTGGCCAGCGCATCACGCTGATCGGATGGCAGGAGCCAGGTACTTATCCTGGTCTCCCATGGGGTGCAGGGACCAAGGACTTGGGCCATCCTCCACTGCACTCCCTGGCCACAGCAGAGAGCTGGCCTGGAAGAGGGGCAACCGGGACAGAATCTGGCACCCTGACCGGGACTAGAACCCAGTGTGCCAGCGCTACAAGGTGGAGGATTAGCCTAGTGAGCCGCGGCGCCGGCTATCTCCATAGTTTTTATTTTCTTGCTTCTGCATGAGAATTAAAAACTTTTTTGGTCATAAGATACTATAAAATCATGTTTTCACAAATCTTAAAACAATATAAGCCTGTTATTTTTGATTTAACACTAGCAAAGATACAATTAAAAAGTAGGAATGGATGCAATATTTCTTATTCTCTGTGTTCTTGGGTCCAGGGTATTCATATTGATCCATAAAAGAGTTCAAATTTTTAGCATTAGAATGTTAAATTAACCTCCAAATCTCTAAAAGTATTAAAACAATCTTATTTCTTGATTTAAATAAGCCCATTTTTGTGTTTACAATGGTGACCCTAATACAATTTTTTAAAAATATTCCATAGT